CCCGCGGCTACAGCCCGCTGGTACCGGTTGCGGGCCGGGCTAGGGACGAGGCAGCCCTGGGGTCGTTTCTTGGGCTCCCGCACCTTCTGCGGCGCCAGCTGTCAGCGCGGCCGGGCCTCGGCTGGAAGCGCCCGTGGGCTGTGCCCGTGGGGCTGCCCGTCCCGCCCGTGGGGCTGCTCGTCCCTCCTGTCCCTCCCGTCCTGCCCGTAGCTGAGCCGGCACCCCGAGGTGTCCCAGCACGGCCTTACAGTTGCCCCTCTCTTTGTAGGGCCTAGAGAAGATCATTCAGCGGGATTTCTTTCCTGATGTGGAGAAGCTGCGAGCGCAGAAGGAGTATCTGGAGGCTGAGGAAAACGGTGACTTGGAGAAAATGAGACAAATTGCTATCAAGTTTGGCTCCTCCTTGGGCAAATCATCGAGGGACACACCTGCACCCTGTAAGAACTGGCTTACTCAGGCATAAAGGTTTTATAGCTAATATTATTGCTCTGGTTTATCTAACTTTGTGCAGGTAGTTCTTATCTTAAAGAATCAAGATTGACATTGCATAGGAATTAGTATACCAGGCTGGGCAGTAGCCAGTATCTGATGGCTGATGCTGATTTATTTCTTTGATGGTGTCTAATAATTCCCTCTTGAGAGAATGGTTTTGGAAAAAACAGCTGTTGAATAACCACTTCTTATGGGCATCTTCCTAGGGAATGTTACATGCTCTAATGTGCAGTACTATACTATCAGAAACTCTTAAGCTATGTTCTTTTGATAAGTTTTCTGTGACTTGTTTGACACACGACCCTTTCTGTGGTGGAGGATGTCACAGCAAGTGTCCTGTTCTGAGCTCTGGTAACCATGTGAACCTTTGCTTTTCTGTCCCAGATGTTACTCCAGCCACGTTTGAAACCCCAGAGGTGCATCCAGGTGCCCTTCCTTCTGGGAATAAGTCCAAAGCTGGCACCAAAGCTGCAGAGGAAGGTAGGAGAATGATGTTTCTCTAGCTGAATTCTTTAGCAGCAGGAAAATAATTTTTGTGAGCTCTGTCTCCTGTGAGGGTTTTGGCTATTTAGCAGATATTTAAGCATTTTCCTTTAACCTTTTAGTTCTGAAGTTGAACTGAATGTAATGTTTTAACACTACATCAAGTGTGTGTGAATTCTCAATTATGGCTTTCTCTATGGCTCTGTAAATTCTTAACTGATTTGGTCTCTTTGAAGGAAGTATATTTTTCCAGTGTCACCTGAAATTAATTCTGTAAGTAAACAAAGATTGTAGGGGCAGAGCTATTCATATCAAATGTTAAAAATGTCTGCTAGTAGCTGACCAGTTGTGCATTTTCCCTTTAACATAAGTAGCTATAAATGCCATAAAAGGTTTTATGTGAAAATGGCTTATATGTCTTAAAAAAAAATTGATTATGGTACTGCTCTGTATTTATATTTTTTTTTCACTAAGCTTCCTGTTAGTTATTGGTGGGTGTGTAGAAGGCTCGCTGTCAGAGGGATTAAGAGTATTACTGACGAGGCAGTTTGTTCCCTAACACAGAAACAGGGATTTCTTCTGAGAGCCCGTGCCAGGGGCAACCCACCCGCCGTGCCGAGGGGCTGGCATGGCGAGGGTTCAGCTCTATTGGTGGGTGTGTAGAAGGCTCGCTGTCAGAGGGATTAAGAGTTACGTATAACGCTCTCATAGAAGGGAGGTATTAAACTTCCTCAGGCTTCTTCCCTCCTCTTGTTAGGAGATGGAGAAAAAGATGATAAAGACGCACTTCCCAGCCTGGACAGCTTCTTAGCAAAGCACACGAGTGAAGATAATGCTTCGTTTGAGCAGATCATGGAAGTGGCCAAAGAGAAGGAGAAGGTCAAGCACGCTTGGCTGTACAGCGCGGAAGAGGAGTACACACAGGTAGGGAAATGGCTCGGCTCTACCTCTGCTCTTCCAAAGTGACACAGTGGGGAAAACACTGTTTTACTGTATTTCTTTCTTGTTTGATTAAATAGATTATTATCTTACTTTCTGTTTTTGAAACTTGCTATAAGTACAGATGATAATTTGTTGGCTCTGAGTGTGGCACTGGTAGAGAAAAGCTAGAAAAAGTTTGAACCACCATAAGTGTTGTCACAAGATGTAATAAAAAAAAATTGTAAACATAATTTTTTCTGAGAAGTTAATTCTTTAGTTCTCACTTGATTTTATGCCCAAACTACATATGGAGTTGTTGTTTGCAAGCTCCCCTGGGAACAGGATGGTTTCTCAAGTGCCACTTGCAGAGAGAGAGTGCTTGTGCCTTGCCAGATGCAAAGTGTGCCAAGGCAGGGAGCTGAGCTCATGATTGAGCTCTCCAAGTTGTGTGTGCCTGATTACAAGATCGCAGGAACCTCTTTCAAACCCATTTCTGTTGATTTTTTTTTTTTGTTCCCTTTGTTTTAATGTGGGATTTTTTTTTTTCCATTGCCCTTTCAGCGACGAAATGAGAACCTGGCACTTCCTTCAGCAGAGCAACAAGCCCTGGAGAATGTGAAAGCCGGACTGGAGACCTGGGAGTACACGGCTCGGAACACCCTCATGTATTACCCAACAGGTGAGGGGTGCAGGTTCCTCAGGAGGGGCATTGGTTCTAGGGGGATGGACTCCAAACAACACTTACAGCACTTCTGTAGATGACTGACCCACTCCTGCTGGTAATACTGCACTGTTTCTTCAGTGAAGCTCACATATACAAAGTTGTTAAGAAGTTTTTCATTTTTTTCTTTCTGCGCCTCCCGGGGCGGGGCGTTGCGGCTCCCTGCGGCGCGGGGGCGTGACGTCACGGGGCGTCGCGCTGGTGACGGCAGCTGAGGAGGGTGAGGGCGCTCCCCGCCCGCCCGGGCCCCGGCGCGATGGAGGCGGCGTCGGTTCCCGCCGTCCCCTCCGGTGCCGTGGTGCCGGTTACCGCCCCAGGCACCGTCGTGGCGACGAAGAAGGGGGCGACCCCACCGGCCCCGAAGCGCCAGAAGAAGATCCTGGATGAGGAGGCCTACATCGAGGTAGGCCGGCCGGCCTAGGCCTGGGCCCGGGCCCTGGAGGCCCCGCTCTCCTGGCACCCCGGCTGAGCGGCTCCCGGCTCGGGTCCGCCCGGCTCGGGTCCGCCCGCGGCTACAGCCCGCTGGTACCGGTTGCGGGCCGGGCTAGGGACGAGGCAGCCCTGGGGTCGTTTCTTGGGCTCCCGCACCTTCTGCGGCGCCAGCTGTCAGCGCGGCCGGGCCTCGGCTGGAAGCGCCCGTGGGCTGTGCCCGTGGGGCTGCCCGTCCCGCCCGTGGGGCTGCTCGTCCCTCCTGTCCCTCCCGTCCTGCCCGTAGCTGAGCCGGCACCCCGAGGTGTCCCAGCACGGCCTTACAGTTGCCCCTCTCTTTGTAGGGCCTAGAGAAGATCATTCAGCGGGATTTCTTTCCTGATGTGGAGAAGCTGCGAGCGCAGAAGGAGTATCTGGAGGCTGAGGAAAACGGTGACTTGGAGAAAATGAGACAAATTGCTATCAAGTTTGGCTCCTCCTTGGGCAAATCATCGAGGGACACACCTGCACCCTGTAAGAACTGGCTTACTCAGGCATAAAGGTTTTATAGCTAATATTATTGCTCTGGTTTATCTAACTTTGTGCAGGTAGTTCTTATCTTAAAGAATCAAGATTGACATTGCATAGGAATTAGTATACCAAGCTGGGCAGTAGCCAGTATCTGATGGCTGATGCTGATTTATTTCTTTGATGGTGTCTAATAATTCCCTCTTGAGAGAATGGTTTTGGAAAAAACAGCTGTTGAATAACCACTTCTTATGGGCATCTTCCTAGGGAATGTTACATGCTCTAATGTGCAGTACTATACTATCAGAAACTCTTAAGCTATGTTCTTTTGATAAGTTTTCTGTGACTTGTTTGACACACGACCCTTTCTGTGGTGGAGGATGTCACAGCAAGTGTCCTGTTCTGAGCTCTGGTAACCATGTGAACCTTTGCTTTTCTGTCCCAGATGTTACTCCAGCCACGTTTGAAACCCCAGAGGTGCATCCAGGTGCCCTTCCTTCTGGGAATAAGTCCAAAGCTGGCACCAAAGCTGCAGAGGAAGGTAGGAGAATGATGTTTCTCTAGCTGAATTCTTTAGCAGCAGGAAAATAATTTTTGTGAGCTCTGTCTCCTGTGAGGGTTTTGGCTATTTAGCAGATATTTAAGCATTTTCCTTTAACCTTTTAGTTCTGAAGTTGAACTGGATGTAATGTTTTAACACTACATCAAGTGTGTGTGAATTCTCAATTATGGCTTTCTCTATGGCTCTGTAAATTCTTAACTGATTTGGTCTCTTTGAAGGAAGTATATTTTTCCAGTGTCACCTGAAATTAATTCTGTAAGTAAACAAAGATTGTAGGGGCAGAGCTATTCATATCAAATGTTAAAAATGTCTGCTAGTAGCTGACCAGTTGTGCATTTTCCCTTTAACATAAGTAGCTATAAATGCCATAAAAGGTTTTATGTGAAAATGGCTTATATGTCTTAAAAAAAAATTGATTATGGTACTGCTCTGTATTTATATTTTTTTTTCACTAAGCTTCCTGTTAGTTATTGGTGGGTGTGTAGAAGGCTCGCTGTCAGAGGGATTAAGAGTTACGTATAACGCTCTCATAGAAGGGAGGTATTAAACTTCCTCAGGCTTCTTCCCTCCTCTTGTTAGGAGATGGAGAAAAAGATGATAAAGACGCACTTCCCAGCCTGGACAGCTTCTTAGCAAAGCACACGAGTGAAGATAATGCTTCGTTTGAGCAGATCATGGAAGTGGCCAAAGAGAAGGAGAAGGTCAAGCACGCTTGGCTGTACAGCGCGGAAGAGGAGTACACACAGGTAGGGAAATGGCTCGGCTCTACCTCTGCTCTTCCAAAGTGACACAGTGGGGAAAACACTGTTTTACTGTATTTCTTTCTTGTTTGATTAAATAGATTATTATCTTACTTTCTGTTTTTGAAACTTGCTATAAGTACAGATGATAATTCGTTGGCTCTGAGTGTGGCACTGGTAGAGAAAAGCTAGAAAAAGTTTGAACCACCATAAGTGTTGTCACAAGATGTAATAAAAAAAAATTGTAAACATAATTTTTTCTGAGAAGTTAATTCTTTAGTTCTCACTTGATTTTATGCCCAAACTACATATGGAGTTGTTGTTTGCAAGCTCCCCTGGGAACAGGATGGTTTCTCAAGTGCCACTTGCAGAGAGAGAGTGCTTGTGCCTTGCCAGATGCAAAGTGTGCCAAGGCAGGGAGCTGAGCTCATGATTGAGCTCTCCAAGTTGTGTGTGCCTGATTACAAGATCGCAGGAACCTCTTTCAAACCCATTTCTGTTGATTTTTTTTTTTTGTTCCCTTTGTTTTAATGTGGGATTTTTTTTTTTCCATTGCCCTTTCAGCGACGAAATGAGAACCTGGCACTTCCTTCAGCAGAGCAACAAGCCCTGGAGAATGTGAAAGCCGGACTGGAGACCTGGGAGTACACGGCTCGGAACACCCTCATGTATTACCCAACAGGTGAGGGGTGCAGGTTCCTCAGGAGGGGCATTGGTTCTAGGGGGATGGACTCCAAACAACACTTACAGCACTTCTGTAGATGACTGACCCACTCCTGCTGGTAATACTGCACTGTTTCTTCAGTGAAGCTCACATATACAAAGTTGTTAAGAAGTTTTTCATTTTTTTCTTTTCTTTATTTGGACTTTGCTCCTTTGCCTCTGATTGCAAAGTCTGATCATGTTCTATTTGTCATTGAGAAGCACGTTATCTGTATTACAGAGACATTACAGGGGCACTTGTTTTCAGGAGCCAAAGCTCCTTCCAGTTTGGTCTGTCTTATTATTTATGAGCACTTGTCATCTTTATTCATTCTTCGCTTCTGCTCAGAGTGCTCCTTGGGCTTCTTGGTCCCTTTGATTGCTACAGAAAACTACATCGTTTGGTAAACACAGTTTTCTTTTGGGTTGTTAATGTGCTATGGATAGTTTCTGCAAAACAGTGAAGTAGAGAAAAGAAAGTCTTGTTGACTGTTTTCTTAAAAAGACAAAAAAATATTAAAATCTGATCTTAATTTATACATTTCAGGTGTGACAAAGCATTATCTTGTGCAAATATTGCTTTAAATTGCTAGAGATACACACTGCAATTGCTGATGGACTGTGTGTTGTGTAGGAATGCATGGCAAGTGTCATGTTGGTTGGGAGCTTTCGAGCACGCTCCCCGGGGCTACCTGAGCCTGCCCTTAATAGCTTTTTTTGCTTTTCAAGGTGTTCCTGATGAGGAGGATGTATTCAAGAAGCCCAGGGAAGTTGTCCATCGAAACACCCGTTTTATGAAGGACCCTTTTAGCCAAGCTGTGAGCAAATCACAGCTCCAACAAGCTGCAGCCCTCAATGCTCAGGTTGGATAATTTTACTTCTTTTGACTAAAAACCTTGTTAGACTCTGCTCTCTGGTGTTGTTTATCAACCAGGAGAACTGTGTGTGCATTAGATCCAGTTGACTCACACCTTTCTCCACATGAATGATGTTGTCTTTTTTTATTGCAGTACAAACAGGGCAAAGTGGGACCAGATGGGAAAGAGCTGATACCTCAAGAGTCTCCAAAAGTGAATGGATATGGATTTGTGGCTACCCCTTCCCCTGCCCCCGGTAAGAGGGTTTTCTTATTTTTTCTGATGTAAGAGAACTGTTACTCCACTTACTTTGACGCTCTGTTTGTTCAACGCTGGGGTGTCGTTGGTTTAGAGAAGGAAGTAAGCCTTCTATCTGGATGTGTCTCATGAGCTGATGGCTTTCTGGTATAGCATATGTGTGCCAGCTCGATGCAGTGCTTAAATGCTGGTCCGATGCACCGGCAAGAGAGGCCGTGCTGTACCCGAGAGGCTCTGAGCAAGCTGCTGTGCCGTTGCTTAGGGATCGTCTTGAGGGCAGCGAGCCTTCCTAGGCAACCAGGGTGCTGTGGCTGCTTGCTTTATCTCTGGGTGATGCTTCTCTAGAGCTTAAAAAGAAGAATTCAAGCATTTCACAAAGGTTAACCTCCTGGTGAATTCATATGCTCATTTTTTCAAAGCAAGGAGCGTTTGTGTCAGTGTGTCCAGTAGTTTGCTGAGTGATGGTACAACCTGGCTCGTAGGGATGTGACCCATCTCACTTCCTTCACAGTGTAACCTGCTGTTTTCCTCCAGTCTACTGCTTTCTAGGTTCCTCCTTTGTCTGAAGGTCCCTTCCAACTCTAACCATTCTATGATTCTATGAATATGCTCCTGGATTATAAATTCCTTTTGTTCAGATGTATTAGCCACAGGATGCTTTTAGTTAGAACTGATTATTTTTCTTCCAGTGGAAATGTCTATCTGAATTTTTAGCTGTTCTTCACCAGCCATTATGTTTCTCTGTCTTTTGTTACTACGCTAAAAGGTGAACCTCCTGAGGCTTTTCCTGCAGAAAGCCTGTAGGTGGCATTTGGAGCACACACCTCCTTTCTCCAGCCTAAATGCCTTTTCCAAACCCTGGAGAGCAGGATTCTCTGGCCAATGACTTATTCGGGCTTTTAGAATCTATTCTGCAGTTGTAGCTGTTGGAGAGGGTGCAGTCACTGTTTGGCACAGGCTGGTCTCAAGGTGAATTGAGGGTACATTTGGCTATTACATGTATCTTAAGTCCTCTGCTGTTTCCCTGCTTTTAAATAGTTCTCCATGTCGAAGGAGTTTTCGTACAATGGCAAAGGGGAAGACTAGTACTGTAGAGGGAGAAAGAAAAGTGTCACTGAGCAAAAGCTCCCCAAATAGAAAAATAAACACATGGAAAGGGTGGTGGTGGGGAGTTGTAACCTGGAGGGTGACACAGCCCCGGGCAATCCTGTCAGTTTAAGGTCAAGTCCTTTTAACGGGAACCACGTTTCAGCATTGGCTGTGATTTCCTCCACAGGGGAAGAACTCCTTTGTGTTGATGGATTTGCTGCATTTCATAATTCACTTCTCTGGATTTTCTGTGGTGATTGAGTAGTCAAATATCTTGCATGACCGTGAGTTCTAAAATTTGTTTTTAGGTGTGAACGAGTCTCCTTTCATGACATGGGGTGAAATTGAAAGCACCCCATTGCGTCTAGAAGGGTCAGAAACGCCGTATGTGGACAGAACACCTGGACCAGCCTTCAAGGTATTTCATTTCTGCAATCAGCATGTCATTCTTTTGGGGGGTAGAAGGACTGAGAAGGGAAAGGCAAGTGAATAACTAATAGATGCACATTGTTGTGGGGGTGTGACACATCTCTGGGCTGTGTTCCCGGTCCTTGAGACTAATAATCTGGGTTCTGCTTGGAGGGTGGAGGTGGATGCAGCCCCACATGAAAGCTACTTGGTGGAAGATACCTGAGGTGGAACACACACTGTTGGCAGGAGAGTGAGACTCAGTATTTGATGATGAACCCAGACAGAGGCTTCCAGAGGAAGCCAAGGAGACACCCGATTTCTCTGATTTTAATATATGAATAGGTAGAAATTGTAGGAATTCCCTCTGCTTTGATCTTCTGGCTGTCACAGCCTGAGGCAGGTGTATCACTTGAGAGTAGAAAAGGCTTTGCTAAGAGCACCTGACCCTGCATGCCACCTCTCCCCTGCTGCTGGCATTGAATGTGAGCTGTCCCAGACTCTTGGTTTAAGAAAGGTATAATTTCCTCTATGTGCCTCTGTTTTGTCAGACTCTGAAGCCCTTGACTGGTTCTCCTGCTGTTTAGCAATGTCTGTGTTTGCCTGAGAGCTGGCTGGCTCCGGGCCAGGCCAGACAAGACACAGGTGATATTGTTTGTCTAGAAGAGACAGCAGGAGGAAATGCCAGAGATAATGGCTGCTTCCTTCACTCAACTGGTTTTGCCATTTTCGTTTCTTGCTAAGGCAAGCTGAAGGTATCTCTGTGTCCTCTCTGGCTTTTATACAGCAGCAGAGAGGTGTGGGCTGACCCCAGTTGAGATCCCTGTAGGCTGGAATCCAGCTGTGAAGGTGTTTTGACTCATTGCCTTGGTGAGTGACCTGTGGGGTGTGTTTACAGATCCTGGACCCTGGCCGCCGCGAGAGGCTGGGGCTCAAGATGGCCAACGAGGCGGCAGCGAAAAACCGAGCAAAGAAGCAGGAGGCCCTTCGAAAAGTGACAGAGAACTTGGCCAGGTGAGACTCCTGTTCTGGTAGGAGAACTGGGGATGGGTGTTTTCTGACGGGATTCAAATCAACATATGTAGAAAGGGAGGAATGATTAGAGTACTGGGAGCAGGAGGAGGTACAGTCAGACTAAAAGTTTGTGGAGACTGGTGTCTGTCCCTGGCAGTCCCTCCTGTCAGTGCTGCTGCTCTGCCCCGCAGCCACCCAGCAATGCTTCTGGAGTTGGTGTCTGGCCTCATCGCAAAGAGGAGACATGATAAGGCTGGGTCACAGGAAGGACAGAACAGGCTTGAAGGAAAATTCAAATCAATGTATGTAGAAGGGGAGGAATGATTAGAGTACTGGGAGCAGGAGGAGGTACAGCCAGACTAAAAGTTTGTGGAGACTGGTGTCTGTCCCTGGCAGTCCCTCCTGTCAGTGCTGCTGCTCTGCCCCGCAGCCGCCCAGCAATGCTTCTGGAGTTGGTGTCTGGCCTCATCGCAAAGAGGAGACATGATAAGGCTGGGTCACAGGAAGGACAGAACAGGCTTGAAGGAAAAGGCAGGCAGTGCCATGTGGGTTTGGGAGGGATGTCACAGGTCTCTCTGTCACCTTTCTCTAGAGAAACAAGCTGCATTTACCTGCAGGCAGTGACTTCTGCAGCCGGTGGGGCTTGTCTGCAGGGGAAATGGACACGGAGGTCACCTGTGGAAGCATTGATGCTCTTCCTGACAAATGGCAGATTTTTAGTGTAAAATCTTTTAAAACTGTTTATTCTATTCCAGCCTCACTCCAAAAGGACTAAGCCCAGCAATGTCACCAGCTTTGCAAAGACTAGTAAACAGGACTGCGAGTAAATACACCGACAAGGCCCTGCGAGCCAGCTATACTCCTTCCCCGGCCCACACGGGAACTCCTGCTTACAAGACCCCAGCAAACGGGCCTCATACACCCACGAGCACCCCACAATCCAGGACAGTGTCTCAGACACCAGTATCTCAGGATACTACATCCATCACGGACAATTTACTGCAGCTTCCAAAAAGAAGGAAGGCATCTGATCTCTTCTGAATATTCTGCTCAGCAGCAAGGCGGTAGCGAACGGGCTGTCTGCAGGCTGCTGCTGTGAGCCACGGGTAGTAATGGGTGTTTAGATCCTGCTGCCAGAATGAAGCCAGCAGTTTCAAGACCTGGGACCAGCATTACTCTAGACTATGTAGCAAAAATAGCCTGTGCTGTGCTTTTTGGAAGCAGAGTGTCTCCTGCTGTGTGTAACTTCCCTTTGAGCTGTGTAGGTGGGATGCACAGGGCTGCTGTCGCAAAAGGATCCTTCTTGCAGTGGCAGAGAAGATTCTGGACTTTTGGAAAATGGTGATAATTTTTTAAAGATATATTTCTTTGTTTAAGATGACCATGCATTTAAATAACGTTTCTGTACAGATATGTCTATTTATAAAATGCAGTAAGCATTCCTAAACCATTGAACTGGACTTTCTTCCAGCTTGTCAAACTCCTTTGCTTTTGTGCTTTGCGGGAGAGGGGATACAACCACGTATATATTGAGTCATGACCCAGAATTTTAGAGGGCTTCTCTTTAATTTAAGTGGAGTTTAAACTGATGCCTGTCAAGAGAGGTGGTACCTTCTGAGAACAGTATGCGTACACTTTCAGACATCAGTTCACACTTCCTAATAACCTGCCCTTACTTACTGAATCTAGAATGTGGTTGCTGCACGTGTGAAGTCTGCGTCTGGTGTAGTCAGGAACTTGAGAAACGGAGTGTAAGAGCTGTTAAGTATCAACAGTGCAGAAAGAAACTTCCCAATGTGTTTTGACAGTAACTTCTCGACCCTGCAAACCACATCAGAGACAGGTCTTTTGAGAGTAGCGGTGTTGAGCTGTTCGTTCACCTCAGCAGATGTGCCGTGTCTTCCCGTTGCTCTACTTCATAAAGCACAAGATGAGGACTATTTCTGAAAGGGTCCAGAGAAGCTGACAGCCACCAGCTCACCATCCTCAAGAGGTTCCCTCTTATTTCTTTCCCCCTTCCCTTTCTGCAGATTTGGTTTGCAGCTTGTGCTCAGGCTTTCACTCCTGTGGGTTTTGGGGAAGCTCACCCTCTTCTGCAGCTGGCAGAGGGGAAGGGACTGCGGGTTCTGGCCTCTGCAACCACGAGTGTTTCAAAACCTCATCTATGCATATCCTCTGAGACACGTTGGGCTGGAGCAAGCGGTAAATGAGGTCCTTGCACTCTACTGTCAGGTTTTTTGAGTTGGGGAAGGGAATCCTTTGTTGTTTCTGAATAGAGATCATCTTCCTGACATTGGAATCATCAAATGGCATTAAGGCGTAGACCATGGTGTACAGGATGACACCCAGACTCCATATGTCAGAAGCCCTGGGGTCGCAAGGGATGCCCTGCAGCACTTCGGGGGCTGCGTATGCAGCAGACCCGCAGAAGGTTTTGCTGAGAATAGTTTTGCCATTTTCATCCCGAGACAAGGATTTGGAAAAGCCAAAGTCTGACAGCTTGATGTTGAGGTCTACATCGAGAAGGATGTTCTCACATTTGAGGTCCCTGTGAGCAAAGTCCAAGTCGTGGCAGTACTTGATGGCGGAAGCCAACTGTTGGAACTTGGTGCGAGCGATGTCCTCTTCCATAGCTCCTGTGATCTTGATGTAGTCCAGGAGGTCTCCCTTTTCCCCCAGCTCCATCACGATGTACACTTTCCTAGCTGATGTCTCAAAAATCTCATAGGTTTTGATGATCGAGGGGTGTTGCAAACGCTTCAAAGCCTCGATTTCCCGGGGCAGGAATCTTTCCAGGAAGTCCTGAGGAATTTTCCTCTTGTCGATGATCTTGATGGCCACGTTGCATTTCAGCCGGTCGCAGTAGGCGGATTTCACTTTGCCATAGGAACCTTCTCCCAGCGTCTTGCTCAGGCTGTAGCCTTTCTTCCCCAGCACCACGGCATCATCCATGGTGGGAGAGCTGGGGGCAGCTGCGTGAGTGGGTGCTGGGGTACATCATGCGTGGTGACAGGTGATGTGCCCACGCGCCATGGTGGTTGCCCTGGTGCTGGTGGGGCGGACGGGTGGCACCCCTGGGCGGGTGGCACCCCTGGGCAGGTGGCACCCAGGCAGTGGCCACTGTGTGATGTCACAGGCAGCCACCCCTGCACGGGGCACTTGGCAGGACCGAAAGGTCCTTCCATAAAGTGACCGGTTGCTGTCACCCAGGGCAAAACTTAACAGTGAGTGGCTGAGAGACATTGGTTGTGCTCTGCTGTCTTCATAGAATGATCTTTATATTTAGTTCTGCCACAGGATGGAAGTAGCTTAAATGTGTTTTGGTTTTTTGTCTTTCCTGAGATGTACCTAAGTCTTTTCATATTTATTCATGTCAGACAGGTGAAATCTCATCTGTTGTTTTGCTGTGGCCTTGCTCCTCTTCAGCCAGCATCCCTCAAAAGGGAGGGGACGCTGCTTTCCTTGTCTTCACTGGGGCTGTGTTCAAGAACTAGTTTGGGTTTGGGTTTTTTTTTTGTTGTTTTCATGGGCTTGTTAGGGGAAGGAGGTGGCTTCTCTTAATTTCCTTGTTGTTCATCCAACCCTTCTGTTTTGTAGCTTGATAATTGGCTGCTTTTGTGGCTTTGCAGCTGGTGCTTTCTTAAACCCTTCCTGGGTGAGGGAGTTATGTTCTGAGTTCCAGCGTCTGCAGCCCTTGAGAGAGGCTCACACCAACACCTTCCTCCAAATGGCTCAGAGGGTTGCTGCTTTGTGTGTTGACCCCCCTCTCGAAGGGGACGTAGGTCTCTTCAGCTGGGCTATTCCTGTACCACCTGCTGGAATGTCTGGTCTCTGCCTCCTGCTGCAGTTCAGCCCCTGGTAGCTGTAATTAGGCAATCAGCGGGCTCTTTTTTGCCAGATTTTTCTGCCACTGTAGCCCTAGCAGATAACTTGCCTTACAGGGCCAAATCCAGTGTGAAAAAACATCTTGGTTGATGATGACTTTTGATTATTTCTTTTTTCCCCTCCCCTTTTTCAGAGGGTGACTACTGAGGGACCACAAGGGACTCTTGTTCTTATAAGTAGACAGGAAAGAGGAGGGGATTGTGGTTGGTTTGGGGAAGAGCAGGATGTAATTTCTTAGAAAGTTGCAGGAACTGTTAGAGAAGAGGCAGCGAGGATGAGGGATGAGTTGCCCTACCCTGGATGGAGAAGGCTCAGGTGCCTTAAAGAATCAAAACGCAGCTTACACCAGAGATGGCTGTTGCTCTGCTCTTTGTGGGGCACGGTAAGAACGTGCTGAGCAGCAGCACAGGGTTTGGTGAGGCAAGTGAGTGAGAAGAGAGACTCTCAGAGTCTCCCCACGCCATGCTTTGCTCAAACAGCCAGGCCGGGGTGTCTGGGGGAGCAGTGGGGACACTGCCCTGGGGCAGGAGCCTGTACCCCAGGGAGCTGGTGGGGGAGAAAGAACTGCCTTTCCTTGGGGTAAGAGCCAGGGACAAGCAGCCTGTGCCCTGCTCTCGTGGTGGAGGCATCACAGGACATCTCTTTATACCCTGTTGTGTCTGGTCTAATGGGTGTCATGGGCCTGAGCTGGATGAGGAACGTCCTGGATCAATCTGGGACATGGCAGCTGGGCTGAGAATGGCCTCCCCCCCCCAGCATCCCTTGGGATGAACAAAGCTGGGGGAGTTTCACGCTTGTGCCTTCGTGCTGGAGAATGTTGTCACGCTTCAGGTCCCCACGGACACTCGGATCATGACAGTATTCGGCAGTGCGTGAGAGCTGGCAAAATGGGTTTTGGCCTAAATCTTCAGGCAGCCCCCCCCAGCTGCTGGTGACGCACTCCAGCGGGTCCCCAAGCACATGTCCCCAAGCACGTGTGCCCCACCACGCAGCTCTGGGACCCCGCAGGGCTCAGGACTTGCTGCTACCCCAGCTCCAGGAGCAACTGCTCCAAGGTTTTGGTGGGCACCACTTTCCACTGCCACATCGAACTTCAGATAAAGCTTTGGAGAAAGCATCTCCCTGACCATATTGACCAACATTTGGTTCTGTGAGGTTTGGGAAAACCCACAGGAGCCCCCGTTCCCCCACCTGCAGGTTGGCAGCCAGAGCCCGGGCAGGGGTTAGGGGGAAGCAGAAGCCATGTGAGAGCAGGAGTACCTGTCCATCCATCAGGAGTAGCCCTGAGGGAGGTTTGCTGCTGGGTACAGCGAGTCATTGGTTTTACCCAGGAGTGAGTAAGACTGAATTTAAATGTTCCTTATTGGAATTTCAATGTTTTGTTTGAAAACTTCAAATTGGAAGCAGAAAACGCTTTGTTGTAAGTATTAAAAAAAAAATAATAGAAAAACTTCCAGGGTTTCCTGGGTTTTGGCTTTGACTCTGGATAAGGTTTTACTAAAAAGCTGGAATTCTCTGCAGAGGAAGGTGCCGGTTCCCTGCGCTCCAGCAGCCACCATGGGTCAGTGGCCACAGTCGCCCTGAGCCCCGGTGCTGCCCCAGCAGCTCTGCTTCCCTTCCCAGCGCCAGAGGAAATTCCAGCTCAGTCAGGGAAGCAGGGATTGAGGGTAAAAGTGCCTTTTGATCAAACGCCACCTGGGCTGACCCCCAGCACCAGGAGAGCTGTGGCACCGGGGCTGGGCTCCGGGCAGGGACAGCCACCACCCTGCAGCAACACCCAGGGTCAAATTCCTAGCGACACTTGTCACTCGCAGGGCCATTAGTAATGATCCGAGGGGCACAATTAGTCTTCTTTATGCGTTTCCTCTCTGGCTGGGCCTGGAAACTGGGAAGATGGTGTTTCCAGGAGGTTTCCCCAGCGGCGGGTGCTGCTGGTGGGTGTCACCCCTGTAGATGTGAGCACAGGGACTGTCTCACCCTCTGGTGGGCAGGCAGGAGGTGATTAATGAAGTGGGCTAATGATGGGCAGCCTCAGACCCACCGGGGCTGGGAAACCCCAGGGACGGGGCTGGGAAGTCCCTGCAGGGCAGGGAAAGGCCTTTGCTCTGGGGATGGAGGGGACCAGGAAAGGTCATCCTGGGGGACAGAGGAGGCTCTTTGGGGCTCTTATGGAGTGGATGGAGAAAGGCTGGCTGCTGGTGATGGGGGAGTGGGAAAGGCCACCCCAGCTGGGGACAGGAACAGGCTGTTCCAGGGTGACAGAGGGGACCAGTGGAGGCCACCCCATGTGGTTGGTGGTGGCTGGCAATGGGGACTGGTGAGGGCCATTTTGAGGAGATGGGGGTGGCTGGCAATGGCCATCCTGGGGGACAGCGGGCTCCGGTGGAGGTGGCTGGTGATGGTGGCCCTGGGGAGACAGAGGCAACCAGTGGTGGCCATCTCGGGGGGATGGTGCTGGCTGGCAATGGCCATCGCGGGGGGACAGAGGGGCCCGGTGGGAGCTGTGCCGGTGGGGACAGCGGGGACCGATGGAGACCGTTCTAGGGGGATGGAGGTGGCTGGCGGTGGTCTCCCTGTGAGGACAGAGGGGACGGGGCAGGGCCGTGCCGGGGGCCGG